TGAGTGAATGAATGAGTGAATGAATGAGTGAGTGAATGAATGAATGAACGAGTGAGTGAACGAGTGAGTGAACGAGTGAGTGAACGAATGAGTGAATGAATGGAGTGTCACAGGCCGGGATGCCAGTGAGATAACCCGATCAACATTGACTGATGGGCTCAGGGAAGGACCTGGTGGTGGGTGTGGCTCCGTCTGCATGGCCACCACCTGGGACAGGTGGGCAGGGCTCATGGGGACACAGCTGGACCAGCTCGGTGTGAGCGGTGGGTGCGTGTGCTGTGTGTGTGCACGCGTGGGCTCCGTGTGGTGCGTGTGATGGAGTGCTCGCCCTCGGAGGAGTGACCTGGGGAACGCCCTGGAACACAGCGCCTGTCCCCCTGCGGGAGGGAGGGGCCTCCCTGTGGAGTTCGCAGGGGCCGAGGCCGCAGGGATGCTGTGGAGCCAGGAATGGGGCCTGAGGGAACGAGTGAGTGAGGGCCCCGCCAGGGGAGCCGTGCGGCCGGCGGGGGGCCGAGGGGCAGAGCCACAGCTGCTGGCGCATCCACGTGCTGCAGGATAGACTACTGGCCTGTCCCAGTCCACGGGGCCGCTGCCTGCGGGTCAGTATGCCTGTCCCCGCCCCCCGCTGTCCTCTGAGCTGGCCTTGGGCAGGAGCGGGACCAGGACCCCCTGGAGGATGAGGGTGTCCAGCTGCCCCGGCCCCTCGGGACTCCCCGCCCTCCTGCTTTGGGGACCACACCCTTGGCTGTGGGGACCTGCTCAGAGGGCGGCCTCCTCGGGGACAGGACCAGGGACTTGGGCAGGCGCTCGCCTCACCCCAGCTTCTGCCCGACACCCCCACCCTCCTGCGGCCCAGGGGACCAGGCGGAGGGCGTCCTGCCAGCTGACCAGCAGCGAGGCCACTGGCAGAGGACGGGCAGTGACAGGAAGCGTGAGAAGCTGTGCCCTCCCCTGACACCTCCTGGGCCTCTGCCCATGGGGGCCCCGGGTTGGCATCTCCTCTCGACCCTCAGGGGCCGCTGCTGGAGTGCAGGCCCCCAGGGGTTCAGGTTCTGGGGTGAGGGCACATAAAAATGGGGTCCTCGCCGGGCCGGCGGGGCTCAGGGGTTGAGGTTGATCTATGAACCAGGAGGTCACAGATGGATTCCCGGTCAGGGCACAGGCCCGGGTTGTGGGCTTCATCCCGGATGTGAGATGAGCAGGAGGCAGTCGATCAATGATTCTCTCATCATTGATGTTTCTATCTCTCTCTCTTCCTCTCCCTTCCTCTCTAAAATCAATAAAAGCATTTAAAAATAAAATAAAATAAAATTGAGGTCCTCGCCCTCACTGGTGTGCTCAGTGGTTAGAGCGCGGCCCTCACACCGAAGGGTCTCGGGTTGGATTCCCGGTCAAGGGCACCCACCTGGGTTGCAGGTCCGCTCCCGCCCCCCGTTGGGGTGCGTGCAGGAGGCAGCCGTTCGATGTTCTCTCTCCCTCTCCCTCGCTCCTTCTCTCCCTCCTCCCTCCCCCCTCCCTCTCCCCCCTTTCTCTCTGAAAATCCCCTCGGGCGAGGATTAAAGAACAAGGAGAGGTCCTCAAATCGCCTGCCTGCCAGTCAGTGTGGAGCCCAGGTCCTGCGTGGGCTTCCGGCCCTGGGCTGACTCCCCGGCTGCAGCGGGGTCTGCG